GGACTCGACCTTTATCGGGAGTGTCGAGGCTCATATTCGCCCTTACACTTCGATTTTGAGCAACTGATTTTATTGTGGTTCGGATTTGACCGATTTTATTAAGGTTCGGGTTTGACCTTGAAAGTGCCGAGGTTCGTATCCGACCTTAGGCTTTGGTGGGGTTCGGGTTTGATCTTAGGTTTGAGCAAAATGATTTAGCTAAGGTTCGAACTCGACTTTTAAGCGGGGACATCGAGGTTCATACTCGACCTCGGTTTTGAATAAAATGAATTTTTGGCGAGGTTCGTATTCGACCTCAGATCCGGATGCTGTGGTTCGTACTCGACCTCATATGCTAAGGGAAGTTTGGGCTCGACCTCGGATCAAACGTAAAAATAAATCATTAAAAGAAGACTTCGGTTTCTATGTCGAGTCTAAATCAAGTATTTTAGTCGTTTTACATTGTAATTGATAGAGCAATTGTTGTAGCTCGACATTTTGTTGTCGGACGAGAGCCATTTCCTCTTCATGCTGCTTTCATTGTTGTTCGCTTTATACTTTCCATTGTTGTAATTTTTATTGCTACTCAATTAACACCTGTGCGTTATTCGATAAATGAAATTAGGTGTAAAGAGAAAAAAAAAAATGAATGCAAGAGGTCCTCGATTGGAAGTCTTCAGCCCTTGACTTCTCGATGTAGGTGATTTGTATATGCAAAAAGGTCTCTGACGCCAAAATTAACAATTCATGGTGATAAAGTATACTATGTAAATGTTGTTTAAGGTTTGATGCATCTATATTTATAGTTGAAAAAATATTCATTGAAGATTTGTTCATTAAATATATTTAAGAGTCTTCATTGCTTTGTAATAGTCGAGCGTTACTCTTTGTTACAACTAAGAGTTAGATTACGTCTTATACTGGCTGTTAATCGACCACATCTCGACTTATTATTTGGTAATGAGCCCGACAATATCTCAATCATAAGACTTCTTCAGTACAAAAATTAACTACAAATTTAGTGAATTTTAAATCATAATTATATTATTTTCTACTCACACCCAATTTCATTGTAAGAGCTTTATTTGTGATTTTATGATATGAAAAGTTTGTTTTTGCTAACTAAATTTTGAATTTGTAAATGTTGTTATTTAAATAAAAATAAATTTAGATAATTAAAATTAAATTTTTGAATTGTGTAACATTGTACCTAGGATGAGATGTGTGAGTTGTGAAGGTCTCTAGTTAGAGGTTCACTTCACCTTGAGGAGAAACAGTATATAAGGTTCCTTATGAGAATTAAACCTCATAAATTCAATTTCTCAAAGACCATATAGAGAAAGTAGCATGAAAAGCTCTAGAGTTATGATACTTCTTCTTTTCTTTCTAGATTCCTCGGAGACATGAGAGGCTCTTGTTGATCCCCGAGATAGTGATCCGAAGCTGTTGGAGTTGAGGATTTGGTGTAGGTGTGAAGTTTTCAGAGCCTTGTTAAAGCAAGCTAGGATTTGAGGTAAGGGAAGCTAAACTTAATTTTTGTTGAGTTGTTGAGTTGTATGTGCCTAAAATTGTTTTAAATTCTTGGTTGTTTGGCAAAATTTGAGGTGAGATTTTGGTGTATGTTGAGTTCTCAGTGTTTTGAGCTCATAGGGGTGATTTTGGTGAATGATGCAAACTGACTTGCATGTGTTATCTTTTCTTGATGATTTCGAATCTTATATGATGTGTGTTGATTATTGGATGCAATGCATGTGTGGGAT